TTTGTGAATATTTTCCGTGTTTGGATCTTTTCCAGAAGCTGTCCGAATAATCTAAAGCAATTCAAAATAAATTGTGGTTTCATCTAGCAGACGTCTTTTTGATTCACTTTGTTACCTATTTCGTGACCATTCAGCTTGAGCAGCACAAAGACTGCATCTATGACCGCGTGGTTCTCTGGGAGAGCTCTGAGAGCGGAGCCCCTCTTGCTACCCTCTGTGGTGTGGTCACTGGAAGGCAAATTGTTACAAGGAAGAGTAATCAAATGGTCATTCGGTAGGTGTACATTCAGTTATAAATTGTTGTTCTAATCCTTCAGGTGATCTGCCTCATAGATGAAATAATTCAGATTAATTTCTGATAACTCGGTCCAGAAATCGGGTTTCGAGTTATCGTTCGTCCGTGAGCTGGATGAATGCGCTTCAGGAACGAAACTATGCGAACAGCGTTGTGTCAACACTGTCGGCAGCTATAGATGCGACTGTCACGTTGGTTACAGTCTTCGTCCGGATGGAAGAACATGCGAGAGTAAGTTTAAAGGCATATGGCACGATAATTTGGTACTCGGTCTAAAATGCTAGCAGGGTGCTATACAGTGGGAAAATGGCGAAAAAACGAAGTGAAATAGGCAAAAACCTGCTAAGAAAAGCCTTCGCCCTTAATGGCTCAAAGAGCGATCTTGGACGAGTTCTCTTGTAGGCATCTTGCCAATAACCCCTACGTAGATACGGCTGCACGTACGTACTCATATATCCATGCAGCACCGCGGCCGCTTCATGTCCAATCCCTTCGCTTCATACTGTACAAATGAAGCAATACGAGCATCAGGTACGGTCGTCCATTTGTGGGCGGGCGGGCGCGGTGGGCGTCCGGGTCGGTATGTTGCAGCTTGATAGGGCCTTATAAGGGTACCTTCCTTGGAAAAGGCGCTACGCAGCGCCTGCTCAGGGGCGCGGAATCCGTTCTGCCGGCAGTATTAATCCTATTCGGCTCAGGCGCTTATCGTGGCAACTGTCTTTAAGGATTTCCTGAAGTTCCGAGGGCCTACTGGCTTTTGATTTATTTATTATGAGGGTGGACAGCGAGGTCATCAAGCATATTTGTTATGTGATTGTCGGTCGGGAGATCCACGTCGTGCTGCGATCATGATCTAATTGGTTCAAAAGTACATTTTGCCGTTATCCGAGGTAGTGATGCTCAAAATGAGGGAGTGTCGACAGTTGAATTAGGCTGTGAATGACCCAGACATGACGCTGACCCAGACTTCAACGAATGGAAAAGCAATTGAACTGGGGACTCACGAAACACGCGAATCACAATCTTGTCTGCATTAATCGCGG